TGGGCCAGCTCGGGTCAGCTTTGTGAGGCTTGGGGCCCAGTATAGTTCGTGCTCCTTGCAGGGAGCTCGGGTTCTCAGTAGGGAGCTCGCTCTTAATAGGGAGCTCAAGCTCCTAGTAGGGAGCTTGCTCTTAATAGGGAGCTCGGGTTCTTACTTAGGGAGCTTGGACCCTTAACAGGGAGCTCGCTCTTAACAAGGAGCTCGGGCTCCTAGTAGGGAGCTCGAACTCAGTAGAGTGGTCTGGAGTTCGAGCTCGGTAGTGAGCTTGGACTTACTTCCGATGTTCGCTTCGGACACTCTACTGTCCCGAGTTGCTTGCCTTTGCCATGTATCGGGCGATTGCGAGGTCGGGCCAAATTTCCCTTCATCAGAAGGCATCAAAATTGAATTCCTTCAAAGTACAAATTTGCAACAATGTAGATGGCTGACTTTTGGCACAAGCAAAGTGAAATGTGAAGCAAGCAGTTTGTGTACACCGGCCGACATGTGGCAGCTTTACAACAAATACACCCGGCACGGCAGACCTTTGTAAAGAAGGACCCGCATCATTATAGATTTATAGGTATAGCCAGTTAGCCAGTTAGCCAGTAGCCAGTAGCCAGTAGCCACGTCCCTCGTCGGGGTGGAGAAGCATAACCAGGACGCTGATTCATTCAAGTCATTATAACACACTTTTACAAAGTTTTCATTCCATTTGTGGGGTCCGCGCTGCGTCTGCTTGCTCTTACTTCGAAAACTACAATTCTAGCGGGCAATGAATTCCAGGGAAACAAACACAATGTAGATACGACCCCATCCAGATAGTACAACACTATTCAATCTTGTCTACTTCAGGTTTCACTGTTTGACCTTTAACCATATTTCATTGTAATGCATTAAAATTTATTTCTTTCTTATACATTATAAAACGCAAAAACATTATTAATAAGTTTAGTAGTTAGGCTCATCAAGTAAAATTTTAAGGCAACTGCCTTTTCCACATAGAGTCAAGTTTGGGATTAAAAATTTTTATTAGGTTTGTGAGCTTTGCAAGCCAATCTTTGTACCATTTGACCTCAGCTCAATTAACAATTGAGCCTATATATTTGGATAAAGTTTGATTCAGAATCAAACTTTTCACAAATACAGCTCAAATTAATACTTCACAAATAATAACTTAAGTCCAACCCTACCATTGAACAGGATATTATTTGCTTTTTATAGTGTTTTTGAATCGTTGTTAATTCAATCGGTTAGACCATTTGATCTACAAACTGTCTAGGCAATCAATTCCATTTCACCTCTAACTCTGTCCTTGGCTGACTTGATCAATACAACAATCCATTGGCCTAAGAAGTCAAACTATCGACCCATCCGACCCAGACAATCGTTTTTGACTTTTTATTTTTATTACTTTTTAATTTTTTAAGTTAGAACAAATCATCCGTTTGAATCTGATGATCAAACCACTGACCCAGAAACCAGTGGCCAAATCGGTTCTGGTTTCAGGCCAACTTTTAAAACCTTAGGATTTTTGGATTAATTAACTGCAAGTCTGAAACCGAATTTGTTTAGTGGACTCTCTCTCTCCTGATTATTGAAAGAGGAGCAACCCATTGCCAGTTGTCCACCTCCACCTCTAACACTGCAACTACCAATGAGAGGTCTTTTATATTGTCGTTTCTTCTACTTGACATTGAATCTATAAAAAAAAAGAAAGAGCAGTTGAAGGTTTACATTCTTGCATCTATAACAGATATCTATACTATACTTACTACTATAAAAAGTACCAATAGCTTTTAAAAATTTTTGGAATTTTAGTTGCACAAATTTTGCTCCTTTATCTTAATGTTTTCAGATATGAATTTGAGGACAAATTTGATATTTTGTTGATTGTTTTAAATGAATTGTAACTGACATTTCATGGAGTGTTTAGTTGGATATATTTATCTATCTTTTAGTTAATAATGAATTGTAACTGAAATTTAATGGAGTTTTAGCTAGATGTAATTCACTCTTTTAATTAAGGGAAACCGTCTAAAACTCACCATGAAATACACTAGCGGACATTAATATATTACCATTTTAACCTTCATAGAAAAATATAAAATATATACAAAATAAATTAACGGGTGTTAATATATTACCATTTTAATATTTAGACATGAAAAAAGGAAATGTTCAAAAAAATATTTGCAAATATAAAATACATAAAAGCATAGAAATTGCAAACAAAATAAAAAATTATTTTCAAATTATAGAAACTATAGAAATTGAAAAACAAAATCAGAAAATAAAAATTATAGAAAAAACACCAAAAGGTATAGAAAACACAGAAATTGTAAATAAATAACAAAAGTACAGGAAAACTCACCATTCAAGGGTAATTTGGTCATGAAATTTATTATTTATGCTGACATGGACACCTCTGTTAAGAAGCATTAACGGTGCACTAACGGAAGGTGAGTCTTGGAAAATAAAAACTTACTGACATGGTGAGTTTTAGACATTTTGAAAAGTTGTGGTGAGTTTAACAATTACCCTTTAATTAATATTGAACAAAATATTTGTTATTTTGATTATCTTTAAAAGTAGGTCCAATTGTCACTATTTAATGATTTTTAAATGTGAATTTTGAATGTGGCTCCACAATTTTGATTATGGCTTTTGATAAGGTTTTAAAAACTGACCCGAAAACAGAACCACTTTGACTATTGGTTTCTAGGTTAGTGGTTCATCCATCTGGGTTGAATGGTTTGACCCGCAACATTACAGTTTTGAGAAACAAACCCTATAAAGATTCATGTTCTAATTTATAATTTTTGTTCCTATCATTCCATTAAAATCAACATTTAAAACTTAAAAGCCTATGTTAATAAAAGGTCTGATGTGAGAGGTGATAAAGAGAAAGTGTGTCAAAATAGCATAATAGAATAGAGAGAGGGAGAGAGACGTTGATTGACCAAAAACGCACAAACCACTGCCTAGTTCGACTGCTCAAGTCAGCAGTTTTTTGACAAAGCCAACAATTTTTTCATAAAAAATGGTCCAACCCAAAATTGGACCTAGAACTATGACTGGTTCCTAGGTCAAATGATCAGATCGTCCAATCCGGCCTAGTTATTAAAACAATGGTTTTTAGGTTTATCTTTTTCATTGGTTTATAAGTAGTTTTTGCCCAATCTCAAAATGTTTGATAGGGTTTCATCCAAAATATCCATTTCAAAGATTATGAGCATCCCATATTTGGGTGCTCTAATTATTCAAGGCGTAATTGATAAGAAGGCTCTGAATAACATCACAGCTAAAATTAATAAGAAAAGTTTGGGTTTGAAATTGAAAACTCTTTTTAAATATGAAAGAGTTATCTTTATCAAATAGTTTTTGAATGTGGTTTTTCTATTTATATGAAACCAACTGGCCAGTTGGCAAGGTTTCTTCGTGGTTGTAGTTAAGGGACTTGGAATCAAATCCCACCTACCCTTGAGTTGGGGGGTTATGGGTTTAGGGGATGGCCACCTTTGTTGTGTAGCCCCATGGAGCCAAAAAAAAATAAAAAAAAAAAGAAAAAAGAAAATGTAACTCCTCCATTTCAAATGTTGTTAAAATGAACATACCCTCAAAAAGATTGACAAAATTCAAAGTCAATTCTTTTGAGGCCCAGGAGAAGGTAAGAGAGCAATTATAGGACAAGTTAGAAAAGGCTTTACAAATTATTGACTTTTATTTTTGGGAAAATCATTAAAAACCCCTGAAGTTTCTAGAAAATCTATAAGAAGTATTTTTCCGCTTTGTGTTGATGCTTTCGCATTTGAATTTGAAGAAAAATCAAGTATTTTGTTGATTGTTCAAAATGAAATCAAAATAGGACAAATTGAGCCCTCCATTGTTAACTTCTTGCTGAATTGTATAGGTGGATATAAATGGAATTCTTTTTTGCATCTTAAATAACTACACAACATGTCTTTTTTTTTTTTTTTTGATAACTCACAATGTGTCTAAATAGACATCCATAAATCATAGAACTTAATGAATTATAATTAAAATTGCATGGAGTATTTAGCTGGACAAATTTAACTACTCTAGACACTTGGAGCTATATGTTGATTTGTTGATGAATTACAATTTACTTGGAATCTATAAGTAGTGGCAATAGATTTCTAAGGTTTTAGAATTTTTCTCGACTTAAAACAACTCTCTCTCTCTCTCTCTACTATGAAGATATAAATTGTAAATTGAATACTATTTTTTATTTCATTCCATTCTCTCTCATTAAGTCTCATATTTAAGGTTAACTTCCATGCTATCCCATTAAATCATATGTTTAATGTATTTTTGTTTCTCAACATTAAATGTTACTAATTAAATTCATGAATAACAATTTTGAGAATTTAAAAACTTGGACATTGAAAATCAACTTGAAAACAAAACTGGTTTTTAAGTATGACAAATAAGAAAAACCATTTTCATGTTTGTTAAATGATGGAAATGGAATACAAAAATTATGAAAAGAGAAAATTAATGTCTATTCCATCACCCTACTAAACAAATCAAATGATTCAATGATTTAATTAACTAAGTCACTATATTGTGGACAAATCAATGGTTTTTTACAAACAAGCAATTTGGTGGAAAATGAACCTAAAATCAAGTAACAATTCAATTAGTTTAATCAGTCTCTAGGCAAACAATGGTTCAATTAGCACAATAAATTGAAAATATTGATATAAGCTATAGAGTAAGAAGATTTGATATAAATTTTTAGGTTGAAGGTCAATAAATCATCAATATATATACAATTATTGTTATTATCATTTGAAATTTCTACGTGCAAAGCAGTACACATTTACGAATATTTTATAAAATTTTGTCTACTTCCTTATCTCTCAAGCCTCAATACAAAACCAAGAATGTTATGTATGCTATTGCATCCTCAATTATAACGCATCTTCTCTTCTGCTCTTCTCTTCACATGCACATTTCTGGGTTATCAGAGAAAGAGAGCATGGCATAATGCAATCATGCATGACTGCATAATGACATACTACCACAAATGTGGGGGCATGTGATGATGTGGATTCATCTCCATTTCTTCCATACATAACATATGTTGTCTCATTCCACAGCAACTTGTTTTGTCATTTACGATTAGTCTTCCGACAAGAATCCATCTTTAAGACGCTGGGAATGCATATGAAGTTCAAACATCAAAGCTAGTTGCAGTTGAATGTTAACAGGTTGAGGTTGCATTCAACGAGGGCATGAGCATGGGCCAACAACAACTTACATCATCATCATAATTGAACTCAACAACCCAATGATACAGACACTTCACCCCTAGAAAACCTTCTTTTAAATATATATATATATATATATATATAATAAAAAAACAATGACTCAGTTGACTAATATACGATAAACCCATTATTAATTAATAATCTATCAAGTATTATTTAATGCAGCAGTGACACCATAACCTGAGAGTGCTTTAAAATACTAAATATGCCATTGTCAATTTGTCAGCCGGAGCTCATATTATCATATGGTCTCGCATCCCTGGGCCTCTTGAATCAGTGACTTTGTCCTACTGGTATTAACTTTTTCTTTCTCTTTAGCCACAGCTAAATCATACATTCCCCCAGGAATCAAAACATCTATCTTTTTCATGTATTGATTGGCTTGACAAAAGTGCTCCATTAGTATGGAATGAAAAGGGAAAATATATATATAAACAAGCAGAGCAGATATATGTCACAATGACGCAGATAGCGGTATTCTGAAGGCAGCAAGCACCAAGCAGTCCATATATCTTGTCAAAGTTGGATAGAAATATCCGTTCCTGTTTTACCTCCACCATTGGCCTAGCATGTGTTTTCACTTCTCTTTTGGCTATCCATGGGTATGCCCTCAGTCTCCTCTCACTGGTCTTCATGGGCGTTCTTTAAGTCCACCCAACCTGTCATGCATTCCATTACCATGTCAGAAAGAGGAGATACCCTTCAATTCTAAGATCAATGCAACTGAAGAGGCACCCTGCCAAGTCTCTTATGGAGAAACCTCACCAGAATGGAACAAAAAACTGATATTTCATTGGTCAGAATAATATTTGATAGAGATAAAAATCCTCAACTCATGAATGAACAGTTGTTATCCATGCCTCTGACCCCCCAAATTATTTTAACACCTTCTGTATTAACCTTCAAATCAGTAAGGTCCAACTGGTAAAGGCAAAAGCTTTCCTGAAGGTAGCAATGCGGATAAGCTAGACACAGAACTTAAACAGGCAAAATCACTATAACATAAGTATATCACTTTTACACGCACAAAAATGAAATAAAGACTTGACTTCTCCAAAGGAACCCTTTCCTTTTGGATAGACATCAATCACTTGCAGAAGTTGCAGATTGTAATTTAAGATGATTGAAATAGTCAACGACTCCTTCAACTAGGAAGGAGATTTGCACAATTGCACTTACGACTGTATTACTCACACTGCCATCTGATAATAAACAATGTACATGAGGCACCATCTTGTCAAACATCATGGTGAATCTTGACAGCATCTTTAGTTGTTAAGTCTCCATCTGATAGCATCATAGAGATTTAGCCTCAGTTGCTCTACCTAGTATAAAGGCTTTGTTCTACATTAATTGATATGACCAACCAGAACAGAATAAATCCGGCAAAGCAATTGCACATGTAAGAAGCAGGAAATATCCATATATAGTTTTAAGGTTGTAGATATGCACAACAAGATACAGTATAGCCTGTTTACAACTCCAATACCTTGTAACTTTGATGTTTCTGTGCATAAGCATCACAGATAGCAAAACAGGAACCATAACTAAACATAAATGCTCCAAGGAGTGCCCACTGATGATGTAATGGTTTGTTCTGTAAATCTTTCTGTCAGCAAGGGCTTCAAATTCTGCCAGAAGGTAAACCCCTGTACCACATGTTTTGCAGATGTTAAAGGGAAAAAATAATTTCACTAGTAGGTTATGTGCAATGTAGTTGCAAGTTGCAACATAGTAAACCTCAAAATTTCCTGAACCATATTAGTTAATTTGCCAAGGGAGAGGTTCATAACATGCTCATTATGCATATATAAATATAGAGATACAGGACACTACACATTGTACAATTCCAAGAACAACTTGTGAGGTGACAAAATCAGGGGCATGCAAATACTTCCAACCCCTATTAATGTTAAAGGTACCATCCATATGTTGTAAATGGTAAAATTTGCACCAAGTTAGAAACTTGTTCATTTTACTGTAAAACTCAGCTGATAATAAATACATCTTGTAACTGTAGCAGTTTCACCTGAAGAAAAGTAAAGGAAATTCATAAGACAACCTCCTTTCCTTTCTTGAACAGGAAAGACAAAGTGTATAGAAGAGATGGTGATGTCTCCCCAACTTCTTTTTCTTCTTTTATAATAAAGAATCACCAAAGTTGGTCTTTCTCATGGAATTCCTTTAAATTTAAATTAATTAAGCACTACATAATAAAAATAGGCTACAAATATTACATGTATATATATATATATAATATTGTGAATGTATTATATATAAACACTCTTAATTTAATTATTTAAGCACCCTATAATAAGATAGTCATGTCATATTACAAATCATAGATATGGTATTTATATACAGTTTATATAATATGGGAATCAATCTGCCAGTTGGCTCACTATATTTTCGGAATATAATGTCTTTAAACAACCAGGAATCTTCCACCTAGCAATATAGTTTTGGCTCTAAAGGGGCCACACATATTTATCCCACAGCCCACTACTTACGGGTAATTTGCAGCTTGCAGACAAAAGAAGAGCTTTGTTTTTAATTAAAAAATATCAAATATCTTGGGTGGCTCATATTATATAATAGGGTAAATCTATGATGCTGGAAAGGTATGACACCGATCACCAGAAGAGCTTTGACCAATCAAAATCCCCGGTGAATTTTGATGAATACCACCTGATTGGTTACCACTTTTATGATACCAATTGATTGGTTATAAGTTTTTTATGTATCATGCCTTTCCGGTATCATAATCAGACCCTATCTTTCTAAGAAGGATTCAGGAACTTGAATACAAATTGGCTACAGGGCTGATATGGACTTTGAAATGAAAATGTGACAAAAACCAGACAGTCCCTTATGCCATGTACAATCTCAAATCAGCCACAGGATTCCTCCACATGACAGAAATTGATGGGGTCATCAAGGGAGAGCTAATATTTAAATATCTAATAAGATATAGAAAATGTCTTGAGATGTTGTTAGTAAATATATTACAGAGGTATCATTTATTATCATTGGAAAAAAGTTGGTTCCTCAAAAGTATATTAAGAATAATAGGAGTTAAGTACTTGGGCATATTAATTGTAAGGGAGACAATTTAGGTATGCAACTGATCTGATATTAGAAACAATACATTGGAAAAAAATAGTTCCCCGTGTATAGTATATCCCTATGAGCATTCCTCCATGGACAATGGATTAGCAAGATCTTTGGCACCATCAAGTGATTTGTGGGAAAAGAGAATGTGAAACCTAGAATATCCAAAGTATTAGGAACCACTGAAGTAACAGTTAATTATTTTTGTTTAATAATGCAACAAGATCAAATTGACAGAACACCTGCTTCCCGGGACACATCTCCCAATCGATCACAATCTCCCAAATGATCTTCTCTCACATGCTTGTTAAAATTTTCTTTAAGAAATCCGAAAATATGAAAGCGATGACTGCCTTCAAAAGCAAGCCATTTTCTTGTCCTACCCCCACCAACCCTAGTCCTAATCAGAGTTAGGTTTGAAGTTCCTACAACTCACTTTCCTCAAAGGTGTTGATCTGTTTTGTTCCACCTAAGATGGCATGCTAACCTCTAAAGAATACATCATTATTACTTGAGTGCCCTTATGATGGAAGCCCATGTGATAGGATTGGATATCATAACCTTAAAAAAACAAATCTGAGGACTTACATAGAACATTAACTTACACCAGGAAGCATTAGCCAACCATCCTCAATAAGAACAATCATCATCTTGGTAAAAAATAATCCATGAAAGAAAATATAGGAACGTACATTCTCATGCCCCCCATATTTCTATGAAAAGTAACATAATGATTTTTAAGTAAAAGAACTAGAATGAGATTTCTAAAATTGTCCCATGCGTGTATATTATTTTGTTGTGTATCAAGGTAAGCCAACAAGGAAGCAGACATTGTTAAGTTAAAAATAGGGATGTCTGTTATATAGGGAAAGGATTGTCTACTTTACAACTATGTTCATTTTTCTCTTTTGGTCTTCGATCAAACATCTTGGACAATCTCTGTGGCATCCATCTCCTGTATTCTGCCCATCAACAACATCTTGATAATTTAACAAATAATAAAAAGAAAAGGTTTTCTCATTGCTCTCATTTCTTCATTCTCCTTATGTATCACAAAAACATCAGTGTGAAATATTATAAATAAGATAGTCATAAGAAAAGGTTAGGAACCGATAACTCTAAATCGCATGTGCCAATAATGGACTTGACATATTACAGATGGGAGAAAAAGGAACTCAATTAACAGTTGATGGATATTCAAATATGCATATTGCACTAAAGGTGAGAGAGAGAAGCACACATAGAATATCAATTAAGTGAAAACTTAGGAGATAATAGAACTTTCTTCCTCTCTCTTTCATCCTTTACTTTTCCCATTTGAATCTCCAATACTCTGGCTTCTAAGCTTCATTCCTATCAAGGACTATTTTAAAGTCATTTCATGAGAACTCCCTGTTGATATTCCCCATGATGTTTCAACACCAACACTAAAGTTGCAAGGAAAGACGTATATTAGGAAAGCAAGCTAGCAATTGTTTTCTTTTTCAATTGAAATGCAACCATTTAAGGAGATAGTCAACATCCTCTCAAATTTCTCCAGTAAGAATCTCACAATATCCTTCAAATGGTATCCTAGACCCACTCTGCACCAAGATGAGCAAGGTGTGAATTTACAGTAAAAGGTCGAAGTGTCCAAGATGGGCATGACACATATTTTGAAGCTCCAATGCAGCATAGCCAAGATCCTACCTTTAAGGTCATTCTCCAACAAAAATAACCAATTAATAACACAAATCACCTCATCTTTTCTTTTCCCTAAAGTAGTTCAAACTCAAAACAGCTAATTAAACCAGAACCTAAGAAACATCTTAAATTCCGAACCACATTTATATGCAGGAATTATGGGAACCTTAAGCATTTTTTTAATATTAACCTTAACCATTCAAGGATAACATTTTTTTATCAGCAACTCATAAAAGGATTTTATTAATTTTAAAAGAAAGCAGAGAAACAAAACATTGTGGAAAATACAGAAGACACCAAATGTTAGGGCTGCAAGTCAGGTCGGGTTGAGATAGGGGTGCAAGTCGGGCGGGTTGGGCCAGGTTTATGGTCAACCCAGGCCCGGCCCTAAAATTTGGGCTTAAGGCCTGAGCCCAGCCCAAGCCCAAGGTCAAGCCCGATTTTCCCAACCCGAGCCCAGCCCGCCCTGTAACTTGATACACTCAGGTTGGGCCCGGGCCGGGCTCGGGTTGGTATGAACTCACTCTAAAATTATACATATATAAATGTATTTATGCATATATATATACATATATATATACAATATATATATATATACATATACATATACATATATTTTTGTATGTATGTAAATATGTATGCAACATTTACATATATACACATGAGCTTGGGCCGGGTTCGGGCTAGGCCCAAGCCCGGCCCGAAAAATAAAAAAGTCCGACTTCTTGGGCTCGAGCCCAGCCCAAGGAGGCGAGGACCAATAATCCAAGCCCAGCCCGTGTAAAATTCCGGGTTGGGCCAGTTTGGGCTCGGGCTGGGCCCACCAATGTTGCACCCATAGGTTGAGGCCAACCCTAACCCAACCCAACCCAACCTTCTTCCTATCCCTTAAAATCTCGTAAAACTTCTTAATCTCAAATCTTAACTCAACTTTCACTACAAATATTAATCCTATGTTTTATTAGTATTTGTTTGTTGATGTTTTTATTGGTTCTTTAAGTACAAAATTAGGAAAAAAAAGTGTTTGAAATGGTTATAGTTTATTATGCATTATAACTTATAATAGATATTTTATGGGAAGCAAGCTATGGGTAGCAAAAAACAAAGAGGAAATAAAAAATAAAATATTCAAAAAACATAAAAAAATGTTATGAAGGTTTTGGTATTTCCAATTAGGATTAAGTGAAGTGATTATCTTAAAAGAAATAAATGATAGTATGTGGTAGGGGCTATACAACTATCATGCATCTAAGCAAATCAATGTATGATATCATATATATAACATATACATGATATGTACTATAGAGTCGGGTTCGAGTTGGGTCGGGTTGCCCAAGGGGTCAACCCTAACCCTAACCCAAGCATCAACATGACACAACCCACCCCGACTTTTTTGGGTTGGGTTCGGGCCAACCTGGCCCAAGTTGCAGCCTTACCAAGTGTCTAAACCCCCTAAACATATTACAGTTGAACCCAAAACATACTGTCTCTGAGCCCCATGCTTAGCTAGACCATCTGCCAGACTATTGGCAGATCTTTCAATAAACATACCCCTAGAGAGCCATTTGAAATGCCTAAGGACATTTCTTAGATGCCAAGATACTCCCTCTCCCTTCTTTAGCCATTCTACTACTGTTTTGGAGCTGCTGTCAATAATTAATCTTTCAATACCCAAATCTTTGGCATTCTCAACTCGAAAAGCAGCAGCTAAGAATTCTGCAGATGCCACATCACCTTGCTCAATTGGACCTGAGAAGAAAGCACATGTATTTCCTTCCTCGTCTCTGATTACACCTCCAATTCCAGAGGGGCTAGGATTGCCCACACAACCCCCATCGAGATTCAGCTTTATCCAGCCACTTGATGGAGGTGACCAGTCCACTGTTGCTATCTGTCTTCTAGAAGAGGAAGCAGCTATAGCCCCCCAAGATCTGAAGAAATCATTGACCTGAAAGTCTGAAAATAGATCCAATGTTTTAACCCAATGAGCCATCCTTAGGGTTATGTTCTCAATCAAGGCTTCCTTATCCCCAAATATTCTTGAATTTCTTTCTTCCCAAACTGTCCAAACTACTGCTGCCCTGGTACATCTCCATATAAGCCTGCCTCTTTTATTTGTACAACTACAATTTGAAGGGCTAAACAATCCTTCCAAGGATTTAATACAGTGTTTCTTTGCCAAAATCAGTGTTATATGGACATCAACACTGGAGACCAGAATCTGATGCATGTCCATGATTCCGAATCAGCAAGAGAAAGAAATAAAACTCATGGACACAACAATACCATATAAAGCGGATACTTGACTTGGTTTCATGCAGACTGTAAAAAGTTAAATCAAAGTACTGGAATTTATATAAGGTTGTTTCTTTTTACCCCTTAATCTTGCACACGTGCATAGTATGTTCTCTTACACTAATCTAAAGAAAAGTATAAACTATTAAAATAATCCATATTTGGTTTAATTTTAACATTATAAGCCTATAGAAAAAGGTCTATAAGATTACTTTTGTTACTTAATATCATTTTAAAAGAAAATTTGGCATCAATTGTCTACATTAGTTGTTCGTTTATGTCGAGTAAGCAAGTAGAAAAAGAAAAATATCACATAGGAGTTTCCTTCAAGAATCCATGGATTGTTGGAGTACATTATGTCTCTAACACCAACGCTTCATCCATTTAGGAGAGTCCATGCAACATTGGCCAAAATTTACATGCTAATATGGATAATAGTGCAAATTCATAAATTCTCAAACCTCAACTAAGCAAAGCCTTATCCCAACACGAGATCTGCTAGTTCAAAAGAATTGGTTACAGAATTCAATTGCAGGAATTGTAAACCCCTAGATTCCTAGCATATGGTTCACATTCAGTAGATAAATGAATATTGCAATTAGTTTATAATCAAAATTCAAATACAAATGCATGTCGTTAAGAAGAGATGGATTCTGCGTAATGGACTAATGGTTAAGAGAAACTCTATGAAGCACGTAGGTAATGCATATCAAGTTTCAAACCTGTCGTCCAAAGCCAATATCTCGAATGAGTATATTTGGGAGGAAAGACAAACGACATAGATGGAATTGCTACGCATGGAATCAATTGGAATAACATGCACAGCCGAAGATCATCGAACATCCTGTAAACAGATAACATAGCATATTCAACAGAGATCTATGTCATTTATCCTTGGATGGGGTTGTGTAGAGAATAAAATAATATAACAAACTTACACTACTGATCAACAAACAAATTTAGTATTTAACCTTTCATAAGCGATGCTGGCAAGAGCCAGCAAAAGGAGCAAAAACAAGCAAATGATTCCAATCGTTTCCCCCACTCTCTCGATTATACAACAAGAAAAAAGCGAGGCGAATGCAATCATCTTCTGCAACCGACACTCCAAGCTTAGTATGAATACTTGAAATAAGTAAATCAACCAAATCGTCAGGACTCAGGAACCCAATTAAGGAATGCACAAGTATAGAAAACAGAATCAGAAGGAAATCGAGGGCTAACCGGAAGCCGGTCCCATAGAACCCGATTATCATCAGGCTTCAGATGATAATAAGCGGAGCCAAAAGCCATCCCTGCTATTGCAGCATAGAAGAAAGCCCAACCCCAAACCTCCCCTCGCAAACTACATCCGACCCATTTCCACAATCCGAAAAAAGCAATCAATACCAGAAATGGAACTTGAGAAAGAAAATGGAACTACAAAGTAAAAGACAACGAAACCTTATAGCGGAAAAACTTCCTTGGAGACAGAGGACTAAACCCAGAACTCCGACAACCAAAAATGGGAAATTGGAGATCACATTCAAGGTATTAGGGACTCCTAAGAAAACCCAAAACATATATTTTCAGAGAAAGAAAAAAAAAAAAAAAAAAAAGGAAGGAGAGGATCAGAATATCAAACAAGAAAACAAGAAAAGGAAAAACTGAGAGAGTACGCATTGTGTTACCCAGGAAATTGCGCATATCAGCGAATACGTGTTGCTTGGGAGAATGAGGGATTTTGGGCATGGCCAACATCAAACAGACCCAACATAAGAATGCACCTCCCCACAGACGAGTTCTTTTCCCACAGGGAAGATGATGATCCACCCAGAGCATCTCTCTCCTGGTCTTCTTTCTGGTTTGGCTTCTTTTACACTTCCCACTCTTCCCTGTGAAGTGTGAACTGTGTTTATGATTGAATGATGTTTTTTGTTTCTGTTTTGGGTAATCAACGAGTCAGGCTTCGTTTTTCGTTTCGCATGGATTGTGCAAATCCTCTGATCATGTGATTCCGGCACATTCACTCATTCTCGGCAAATTCCGAAAAGCTTTATACGTTTAAACCATCACAAGCCACTTGTTCAACCCTCCTTGCGCATATTTTTACTCTTTTTAAGTTTTAAGCCCCCTTTTCACGCTGTCTGATTCTAGTAATATAGCGGGAAAAAACGATGATTAATGTTTCTGATAAAAACATTTTATGACTGTTTTAAGTTTTAACTCGAAACAGATCAACTCGGCCAGATAGGAAATTGATGTTTAATATCAAAACACCCGAGTGGCACTGTATCAAGTAGAAACAGCCACAGTACCAACCATCACGTAAGCTGTAAATTGTGATTTTAAGGCATGTATGAAAAGAAATTGTTTCCTAAGCACTTCACTCAATTCTTCTATCGAAAAAGCAAATCAATATAATAGCGTAGAAGTCACCGGAGAAATCACGCGACCATCCAAGTACCAAACCTTCTTCGGCAACCGACGGTGGAGTTTTTGCCGGCCAAAAGTGGATAGTTTTAGAGCAACCCGATGGAAGCCAACTAGGAACTAGCCAGCGATGTTACAATTACAACTGGTTGTTTACCAACATTTCTCTTTCTTCTTTATTTTTTTTTGGTTTAAGATTGCTTAAACCATTTGTTTGTAGGACTGATAAAAATAAATAAAATAATGAGTTGAGACAGGAACAAAAGAAAATTGTCTGAGCCCGGGTTCGAACCGGGGACCTCTAGTGTGTGAGACTAGCGTGATAACCAACTACACCACCCAGACAATTGTTATTCGAAAATCTTTTTCGAATTATATTTATTCAATCCAATTAGCGCTTCCATTTTTCGATTCCTCGCCTAATCAGCATATGTTGCACATTGGGGGCTTGGACTTTATTAGCGATTACCTTTTTTATTTTTAAGCATCTTTGTCTTTTTTTTTTCTGTCCTTTTGAAGTTATTTCCTTTCATAGCAGGCCCGTTTGTTTCGTGGGAATAGGGGTGCAGAACTGGAATCAGAATTCCATTTTCATTAATGGTGGAATGTCATTCCCTCATTCTCTCTATTTTCTTTAGAAATGAAATATCATTCCAATTGATTTTAATTCCCACTTTCATTCGTATTATAGGAACAGACCATTTTGATTCCAAATTGTAATAGATTTCATTCCAATTTCAATTTTGATTGTAAAGAAAATGGACGCTTGAACATGATAGAGATTATTATTAGCTAAGTTTAAGTTATGAGCTGCGTCATTACAACATTGTACAAGTAGGGTGACAAAAAGGAAAGAAGATGTGTCAAAAGCTGAAGAGCTTGTAGAGGTGATGGTTTTGTAATTGGGATAACTTCCAAAAAGAGTCATGTATAAGGTATGAGTTGTGGGTTCAGTCATTTTGCTCTCTAGGCTAGCCATAAATGCAAGTGATGAGAGAAGCCACATAGCCCGTAAAACAGCCATCTGTTGTCATGAAATAGGTGAACTCAGATTTACTGACCACAAAAACATAAGACAGCCGCATGGCGGAAACATTATGGACGTAATATATATTTGTGGAAACTGTAGCCGTACAATACACTGGGACGTAATATATTTGTGTCTAGATATGCAGACCACAATACATTATCATCCAAACTCTCTTAACTAGAGTTTCTCTTCACATCACAACATCAGGTAAGTTTGAAACAATCTCTGAACTGGTTTTAACCTGTTACTACCTTTGGGCTTAGGTAGACTTTATACTATCATTATTTAAGATACTATAGGCTATGCCACAAGATTTTTTTTTTTTTTTTTAACAATTTCTGCAATCAGAAATAGTATTTGATTTGTAGTGTTGTAGGGAAAGGGAGAGTTTTATTAGGATTGGATCAGAGTAGTGGTGGATGCTAAATTATCACCTGGCCCACAACTGGATTGGATCAAATTGATACTGTAGATGTACTTTAAGTATCGATTATGAGTTCTTTTCTTGTTCTTAGCTTTTTGTAATGGGTTATGTTTTCTTTTTTTATTTGCAAAGATTGAGCTTTCCTCTTTTGCTCAGGCCTATTCAAAAAGTTGAATTATTCTTACAACTTAAAGCACAAATTCTTGTACAAATCCCATCTTCCTGGACTTATTTATACTGAATAGAAGACCTGCAAATGCTTTTCATACCACTAACTATCGATCGATCATAACCCTTAGATTATGTTTGGATTGAAGGAAAAAATAAGTAAAGAAAGAGAAACATAAGAAAATCTATACAAGTTTTGTAAAGGTTTTCCTTCAAACTAAACACAGCCTTATGGTTTTAAATGCTGACTTATATCTACCTCTCTACACACAAACGGGCGTATCTACCTCTCGTGGCTGATTTAACCAAAGCCTGAAATAAGAATATAAAAATATTTTTAAAAATTTATTTCAAATGAAAAAGAAGACTTTTATACAGGCTGAATGGCATACAAAACTATTTAGAGACCAAAGATCCTATATTTCTCAGAAAAAATATGCAGATCTTTCTTTAATATTAAGACAAGAAGTATTTTATTTTGGAAACAGAAATCCAGGATTCAGTGGTGGCTTAAGGAGGGTGACCTGAACACTAGTTTTTTCCACTTAGAAGAAGACAATCAAATAAAGTCATGGCTATAAAAGATAATCAAAATCAGTGGACACATAAGCCTCAGGAAATTAAAAAAAAAAAAAAAAATTGTTTTTGGACCACCTTAAATTTCTTTATACTGAGCCTGCAACTCAAGTGCATAATGTCGGCCGGATTTATGCCCAATTGTGAAACCAGTTGCCAATTGAAGATATTACTGCTGAGGAAATTAGACTTGAATCTTCCCAAAAATCCCCAGGCCCCTGAAGGTAATCTTACAGCAGAATTCTTTAATCTTTATAAAACATTGGGAGACTGCGGGACCCACTGTCACTCACACCATTTTGGAAATTTTTGAAAAAAATGAGAAATTCCATAGAATGACAGTTCAGCCTGGGGTTAGAATTTAAAGGCCCAAAGTATAATTGGGATAGGTGCCAACTTGGAAATGATGCTAATTCATGAGTAGGCATTGACATATAGAGTGGGGGGTTTTGGACAATTTGAATGGTTATAGGTCTGCAATGGAATTCAGAAATATGTATTGACCAGTACGTAATTTTCTGATAAGTCGTAATCCCAAAACAAGAAACCACTCAATTTCAACCTATAAGCCTTTGCAATAGGAATGACAATTTACTCCATCCCCAACGGGGATCCGACTTCCCCAACCCTATGGAGATTGTTTTGGCAGGATGGAGATTAATAGGAATCCCTAATCGAAATCGGGATCAAGGACAGGGATTAATAGAATCCTAAATCAGGGTCGGGGTTGGGGTTGGGGATAGAGATTGAGGTCCCCACCCCATCCCGACCCCGATTATATATATATATATATAAATGTTATTTATATTAAATAATAGAAATAATATAATAATATATATAAATAATAGAGTATTAGATATGATTAATAGCTTCTGTGCTCAAAGTGGTGAAACCATTAATTTAAATAAATTTTTAATGATAGTGCCAAGAAATCTGAAAAGAGATCTCTCTACCCAGTCGGGTATTCCTCTTACGTCAAAGATAGATAAATATTTAGGCATGCCTGTACTGGAGGGACGAATCAAAAAGCATGAAAAGAAATTTTAAAATTTTAATAAGGTGTGTTATTGAAACCCTTCCTATCTGTTCATTTCAAAATTTTAAAATTCCAAATGAAGTTGCAGAACAAATTGATGCAATGAAAAGAAATTTTTTATGGGGTCAAATGGAAAAATTAGTAAACATCATCTAGGGTGGAAGACGGTGATAAAACCAGTTAAAATCGGGGGTTTAGGGCGGAAAGATACAGGATTAGTCAATCAAGGGCCTGGAATTTAAAAAAATAATAAAAATTTTATGTTCTGAAATTCTCTTTGCAAAATATAGTCAAGGGAGAGACTTCTTTGATCTCACGGCATTATTGGGTGATTCTTAGTCTCTATTTGCTTTTCGGTAAGTTATTTACACAGGTAAATGCACTTACTTAGGTAAGTATTTTTCAGGAAAGACTTACTCGGGTAAGCGCATTTACCCATATTCTTTTATTTCCCAAGTAAATAAGGCAATGACCATTTTAGCCATAAAAAACCATTATTAAAAGAGGTATTTTTGTCCCATTCAAGTGTTGACAACTTTCCCCCGAGGTGGGAAAGTTATTTACCCACTTAGGAGATGGGTATCACTTATCCGGATAAATGATACCCAGGAAAATAAACTTTCCCTGGTCCCCACATAAATCTGAAAAAAATATATGGATTTCTTGGTCAATGGAAATCAAAATCCCATTGACCGACTTTCCCCTCTCAAAATCCGAAAAAAAACGCCCCCTTAGGGATGAAAAAGCATGGTTAAGGGCATAAATCTACTCAAGTTAGGAATCCAAAAGAGGATTGCAAATGGCCAACCAACAAATTTCTGGAATGATCCATGGGTTTCTACAATTCCTCTTATAAACTTTAGACTTCAGGGATCCTTTAGTAGTTCTAACCCCATTTTAGTGGCGGACTGTATTTCCAATATGAATTGGAATCTAACTGATGTTCAATCTCTCTTCTTCCTCAATCTGTAGTGAACAAGATTTTTGCTATTCCAATTACCCACTGTCAGGATGAGGAAGATATCTGGAAATGGAGCAATAGTAAGGATGGAAGTGTCACAGTTAAGTCAGCCTATCAAGTTTTATTTAAACACAAGGATGGAGACCACACAGTTGGAAATTTCCATGCTCCCGTAGGATAAAACACTTCGTATGGATATGGATGTGAGTTATAGGTAAACTTCCTACTGGAACAATTCTTCACCATAGGAATATAATACCTGAACCAAAATGCTCTCATTGTCAAAGTCCAAATGAAGACATCATCCACATGTTCTTTAATTGCCCAAAAACCAGAGATATCTAGACCTACTTTCCAATAGCTTTATCTATCCCTCAGAATTTTAAATACTGGATTCAGAGATTACAGAACCAGCTTGAGAAATATATGTTATCATTATTGTGTCATACCTTGTGGGTTATTTGGAAATCTAGGAATGATATAAATTTTGAGAACAAAGAAATATCAATCAAATCCATGTGGTCAGAAATAAAAATGCTACTGATATGTAAATATGGCTGCTAATCCATCTGTTCAAAGTGGTATCAGGTTCTGGAAATGCATTACTTGGACTCCTCCGCCAGAACACACATTTGAGCTTAACACTGATGGGGCATCAAAACATCATTCAGGAATGGCTTCATCTGCTGGTTCTTCAGAGATTATAGGGATCGATGGTGTGGAGGATACCTTAACAACATTGGTCTTTTCCCTCTCATTATTGAATTAGACTCCTTATCCACTGTTACTGCTATTCAGCAAGGAAAATCACCGAATTGGAGAACAGAAGTCATCTTCAAAAACACTATGCAGCTCCTTAGCCAATGCCCAAATGCCACCCTCTGTCACTGTTACAGAGAGGCTAATAGATGTGCTGACAGTTTAGCTATATCAATATGGCTCTCAATCTAAACTGCCGTAGTAAATATCTAAATAATCCTCCTGTAAATATTGTGAATCTTTTGCTAGATAATATGACTGATACTCCTCGATGGGAAAGTTGTAAGTTTTCTGGTAGTTAATGATATACTTCCATCTTTTAAATCAAAAAGAAGGGAGCTTCAACCACAAATTCTGGCTTCATTTGGATAAGATTTTGATTTTGAGCTCTGAGGCTTAGTTTCGAAGGAGTACAAACACAAATATGTACAGTACAAATATATAATTTTGTACTCGTACTTCTTCCAAATTGAGCCTGAAGAACAATGTTGAATCAAATTAAAAGACCATTTGCTGAGAGTTAAAAGCCAACAAAAAAAAAAAACCCTAGAATTTGAACTTTGTGCTTTGGGGCTTGAGAAGCACAAATCCTAAGGCAACACAACCATAGTTTTTCTAATGATATTGATCTTCCCTATAGATCTCTAGGGATACACTACACTCTACACCCACTTGCAGCATTTCCTTATTTCTTAAAGGTGGAATCCAAATTAATTCTAACAATTGGTCTCTTTTATTAATGTGCCCAAACAGCACCCAATATTTTATATATTACCTGAACTGCTGAACTCACTAATGTGCCCCAAACTCACTATACCAATTAATCAACCCAGAGTGAAAATTATAGGGATTATTTGGCAAATCTTTTTTGAAAGATCAAGATTTTACAATAAAAGACAGTGAGCTTTTACATAACAACTTTGGCAACCCAAAGACCATTTGGTTGAAAATAGACAAAAAAAAAAAAAAAGCAAAAAACTCCATTTCTAGCTTCTTAAAATAAGCTCAAATCGAACTTCTAACATTTTTTATAGTTATCCCATCAGTCCATCACAGGCCCAGGGCTGTAATGGCCCAACCCATGACCCATAGCACATATGACCCACATACCAATCAATGGGTCCCACCACTATAACTTGCTTCCCACACTCAATTCCATCTCGTCCCAGAGAGTGATAATACTAATACACACTGGATACCCATTTCCATTTGCAGAGAGGAATGAGAGTATGAGATATGCCGACATGGTTAGTCCCACGAGCAGGCTTTATGCACATGCCCATATGCCATCTACAGTCTTCAATCCAAAGTCGTCTCTCTCTCTCTCTCTAATAAATAAGAGTCAGTCTCTTCTTAATTAAATGTATATATTAAATAAAAGGAATCAGAATTCTTTAATCTCGTAAATAAATTCCGGCACATGCAATTCTCTCCATCTACAACCAATAATAATCATCTTCTATGTACAGGACAAACGTGACGTATATATTCAATTAATTTGCAATTGTTGCCACCGAATATCCGGAAAAGCAAGTCGAGATGCTATTGGAAATCGACTCTGACGCACATGCAACTTTACCTCTTTTCCTGCTTTACTTCTGTTCTGCCTTTTCTCTTCTTCTTCCTCTCTCCTTTCGCAGTCGCCGTGAATGTAATCCACTACTCATAACTAGGAAGTCTAAAATATAAATACCCAGAGATTTTTCTCAAACTAACAAGCATTTATACAGACCATAGAAATGAAAAAAGAATGGAAACGAGGAAAATATAAAGAAAAATGAAAAACTTATTTGGTTTCCAACAACAGTAATAGATCTACTCTAGTACAGACTCTAAAATACTTTTAATTATAAGAAAAACCTTAATTATTTTGCACCCCTGCTGAGCATCTCCTTGTACCTCATAATGGAATCAAGCCTCTGCAGCTTCAATTGCTGCTTAAACCTGTTGATGAAATCATCGGCCTTTGCATCGACCTCTTCGTCAACTCCAACCGACTGCAAATCACTGGCTTTGCTCTCATTCTCCCTCACCGTAGACGGTCGACGGCGTTCCACGATGTCTTCTTCTTCGAAATGCCTAAAGGCCGATTTAGTAGTTGCAGACTTCTTCATCTTCTGCGGCAGCTTTACCGGAATGTCACCCGACGACGGTTTCGTGTCGGATTTGCTTCGGCTGACATGGTGGTCATGAACTTGATCTGGGTTATGATGTACGGCTCTTCCTACTTTTTCTTCTTCTTCTTCTTCTTCTACCACCTCATCTTCTTCTTGTACCTGTTGATGTTGTTCCGTCGGCTCTATTTTCTGTACGACTTCCGTCTCAGGTGGTTGGTACGCCGTGGTGATGGTGGGGAATGCGTTAAATTCCTCCGATCTGTAGCGGTAGAGATTGATGGATTTAAGTCTTTGTAGGACTGACGGAGCTCGAGCGAGTTGGGGATGGTGTCCGTGTCTCTCGTCTTTGTTGTGATCATGCTTGTGGCTTCCCAAACTTGACGTGACGGCAATCGTACCGATCATGAGGTTGAGGAGGAGGAAGAGGACAGTTGGGGTGAACCAGCTGTACATGGAAGCCCAGATCGAAGGAACCGATTCTTCGAGCATGGCTGCCGTCGATTGCTCTCCGTCTAACCTTCTGTGGTAGAAATTCAGAGCTCCAGACTCTTCCCCTCTTCAGAGAAGTTGAAGTTGAAGATGAAGATGAAGATGAGGAACAAGAACAGGAAACTGTGTGGTGTGGCTCAAGAGAGTGAGACGGAGAGTGGGTATTTATCATGGAGGGGAAGTTTACTGTTTTATTTTTTAATTTTTCTGCATTTGTCCCACTCGAGAGGCACGTGGTTGTTCCGTAGAAGAGTGAAGAAACCGTAAAAATGGAAGTATGTGAGGCCCCGTTTGGGTCGCAGGAATAGGGATATGGAATCGGAATTGGAATGGACTTTTCTGATTCCAACTGTTTGGTTGGGCGTAATCGGAATGGCATTCCTCCATTTTTTTTGATAGAAAACTAGTAAGATAATTCATTAAATAAAAGTCACAATATACAAAAAACCAACAGAGATTAAAGTTTAATTAAGTCTTGGTTGGCCAGATTTTGTATCCATTCAGGCATATCAAGAATAAACAATCCAGACTCTTTTTTGCAAGCAAGTGTGTTGTAGCATTACAAGACCTATATTAACATAACCAAAGAAATTGCTAAATCATCGGTCAATGATTTTATATCTAAAGAAAGAAAGTTTACATCCGAAACTAAATTCAAGTTTCCTATTTTAAGCGCCTGCACTAAAATTTGACAGTCAGATTCCACTTCGATTACTTCTTCTTCGTAGATACTCAAAATCTCCAGGTGCCGTTGAGAATTGCCATTGCTTCTACCTGTATGGGGGAAGTTGCTGTAGACTTCCCAAAAACTACAGCTATGATAGCACTATTTTCATTTCTTAGAACTGCTCCAAAACCTGACCTTCCAGGACCCTCAAAACTCCCGTCCACGTTTAATTTAAGCTTCCCTGCATATGACCCTTTCCAAAAAGATGATATTCCCTCATTTGAGTTTGGATGTTGAAGTAAAGAATCTGGTGATCCTGCTTGGGAAATCATCATTCTCTCCCTCCACATCCTGTAAGAAGTTGCAAGAGTGACTCTAGGGGATGGGTCGACGTTCTCAAAAATTTTTCTATTTCTAGATTTCCAAATAATTCATAAAAACAAAAAAGATAAAGCCATTAGGTCCTCTTTTCTGTCTCTGTCTATAAAACAAAACTCAACCCAATTTTGAAACCAAGTATTAAAAGTTGAATTTGTTCCAACTCTCTCCCCCATGAAACCTAGGTGAGATCCAAATTAGACAGCTTTTGTGTGATCATATTCAAAAAGGCAATGCATTACAGTTTCAAGATGTTGGTTACAAATAGGGCAAAGGTTGTCATTTAAGAGTTTCTTATCATAGAGATTTTCCTTCACAATTAGGGCATTTTGAGAGCATTTTCAATATAAAGCTCTTGATTTTTGGGTCAATTTTTGTTTTCTAAATTTCAGTCCAATGTTTTTTCCCCAGTCTAGCCACATACTCAGTGGCTGGAACCCTGTTGAGAGATGCTAGGCCATAGTACCCAGTCTTAACTGTATAAACACCTTTTGGATTTAAAGTTCATTTTAACTTATCCTCTCACTCTCTCCTACCTAGATTTATACTCAAGATATTTTTTGCTCAATCAAAAAAAAATTATCTTTTAAATATTTGGCTTTCATGATCTTAACCGACAGATTATCTACTTTCACACATAACCTCCAAGCCTGCTTTGCCGGTAAGGCTAGGTTAAATTTATAGGGATCCCTGAACCCCAACCCTCCTGATTTATAGGGATTCCCTATTTGAAGGAATGGTCATTTCCTACCCATCCATTGGGAATGAAATACTATTTCTGCTGATTTTAATTCTCATTTCCATTCTTATCTGAACCAACAGATTATGGAAATGAACCATTCAGATTCAGATTCCATAAGATTTCAATTCCAATTCCGATTCCAACCAAGAACGAGAGATCGTCCAATCAAATCAAACCACATGTTTATGGACGGTTCCAGATGTAGCCTTGAGTGTCTCAGAGGTGAAGTCCACACCAAGATTTCTACGCTCTACTCCACATAATCACGTGGTCACCGACCACTCGGCCACGCCCAGGACCATTGGGTAAGGAGAATCTGAATTTTTGAAAGATTTGTTTAACGATTGAAACGCCCTTTAATCTGATTTGAAAAGAGAAAGCGGAATCAAGATTTGATTAGGATGGTGTTTGGTAACAAGTCGTTAAATGTTTTTATCATTATGTAGCCGATAAGTTTTTCTTTTTTTCAATGCGAAAATTTAATATGATATGGAAAGAGTTTTGACGAATCAAAACTATCCATAAATTTTGATAAATGACATAAATTTTTCAAACCTGATGTTATTAAAAAGCGTTTTCTCCAGCAACACCTTGAAAATCAGAAGCGGTGTGGTATGAAATAAACGCCTTTTTTGATATTTTTCATTTTTTAATATTGTTACTAATTTTATGTCACATTAAAAAACACCTATAGAACAGCAATCAGCAATGGTCCTGATGTGGGGTGACCCAACAGCCCATTCGAGGTTGGGAGGCCCAGCTCACGAGCGTCAGACTTGGGAATAAGATTCGCTATAGCAGGAGTTACTCTGCTTCTCTCGTACGGAGTCAATCGTGGAGCGCCTACACGTCCCCGTAGAGTTCTCTGGCTGCCCACGTATGGCACCCATCTCAAGTGTTCATCTCAACCTACCTCCAGGCAGCTCAAGTATAAATAGAGGTGCCCCCCTCCAGGTAAGAGGAGGATTGAATACAATCGGCATCTGGATTTGGAACTGATCTCAAAAGCTATATTCTAATTCCCTTCTTCGTACCCCGTACTAACTTGATCGTCGGATACTCTGCCTCGGGTTCTCACTTGGGGCTTCTGATGTATTATGCCTTGCAGCACCTCGGCCAACTAACTTCGGCTTCTATAGTATTTGGAGCCCTCTCCACCTCAACCTCGACAACAAGCTCTCCGAACCCTCGAAGCCTTCGGAGTCGAGGGGCAAAATTAGTTTGTTGCCCTCGGCCATCCTGAGCATCAACAATTGGCGCCATCTGTGGGAAACATCGTTTGGACGTTCCCTAAAAGAACTTTAACGAGATAACAAGTCCCCAAGATCCAACCAACCAACATGGTACGAAGAACAAGAAATACACAAAACTTTGTCACCAATGAACAGTTCCGGGCCAAGCTCGACCGCCTGGAATACTTGACACAACGAGTCAAGTAGAGCTACCCCCAAGCATGAGGCCACCCCACCGGGGAGTCAACACAGTCGGGCCGGCATGGGTCCACCAGCCAATCGGTCCCCAGCCTCGGCTACGCGTAGCAGACCGAGCCCTAAGAGTCTGGTAGCAGTCGTCCAGCCGACCCACTCTCCCAAACCACCAGACCTCCCATCCGAAGGGAGGAAAACTCCATACCTTCTAGACGAAGGGAGGAAGAGCCGAAACGATTGGAGGATAGTCGTCAGCCCTCCGAGCAGCATCACCGACGTCGAAGAGCCAATCCGAGGGGCAAAGGCGGATGTCGTTATCGCCCCAGCGCCCATTCTAGGGTCGAGGGCCAGCGTCGCGCCTCTTCCCCTCACGTCTCGCACCTCCGAGACATCCTGAATGACCGCCGCGCTAAGCGCGAAGCACGCAGTCTCAACTTCGTGCACTCCGGAGTCCATGCCGAGCACCACTATGTTCATGAAGACCGGGATGGTGCACAGGCCGTGCCCGACCCCATGTTCGCTGAACTCCGAGCTGAGCTCGAAGCTGTCAAAGCCAAGCTCCAACAAGTTAAGGAAGGTCGAACTGACACCTTGGCCGGATAAAGCAACTGCCAGGGAGAATGGATGCCTTCTCCCCTGATATCATCGACGAGCCTCTACCCCTGCACTTCAAGGCTCTCGCCTTGGAGATGTATGAAGGGAACACAGACCTGAACGACCACCTGGAGAGCTTCAGAGCACTCATGATCTTGTACGAATACTCCGACGCCTTGACGTGCCGGACTTTCTAGGCGACCTTCAAGGGAGCCGCTCGGCGATGGTTTTCTAGCCTCCCACCTCGATCCATCACCTCATGGAAGCAGTTTTCCAGCATGTTCCTTGCCCGCTTCATCAGCAGCCAGCGCCCCCAGAAAAGCGTTGTCTCATTGATAACTGTCAAGCAGAAGCGAAGAGAGAGTTTGCGGTCATACATAAACCGCTTCAAAAAAGAACTCGAGGTCCGTGACCTCGACCCCCTGGTCTTCATGCATGCCGCCATCAGTGAACTCCTCCCCGGCTTGGCCCTCTAATGCTTCGTTGCCAAAAGCCAACCAAAGATGAAGCTAGAGTTCCTAGAAAGGGCCTAGAAATACATTGTCGTCGAAGAGGCTTCGGCTACAGATGCCCATGAGAGAGGCACAGAGCATCGGGACACATCCCCCGAGAAGAAGAGGAAGAACGGAGACCTGGGCCACGGCAACGACAACAACAATAGGAAGCCATCAGCCTCGGCCTTGGCTTACAATCAGTACACGCCACTCAACTCCACCCGCCCACAAATTCTGATGCAAATCGGGTAGGAAAAATTTATGAAGTGGCCTGAAAATTTGAAGAAGAACCCCCATTGGGGGAACCCCAAAAAATACTACAAGTTCCACCGAGGTACCAGCCACGACACCAAGGACTGTTATGATCTCAAAAATGAGATAGGGTCCCTCATTCGTCGAGGCCACCTCAAGCAGTACGTCGGAGGCGAGGCTGGCGCCTCATCCCCACTAGGGGGAACGTGCTTTATTATTTAGGTAATCCCAACAACAGCAACAACAACACCACCAACAAGCAGTAGGCGTCATCGACATCATAGTGGGAGGCACGGCCTCGGGTGGAGCCTCGGCCTCGGATCACAAAGCCTACGTCAAGCAACTGAACATCCAGGGGCTGGCCCCCAAGAAGCAAAAGTATGAACCCCTCTCCTTCATGGATGAGAACCTGAAGGGGGTAACGGTCCCCCATGATGACGTATTGGTGGTCTCAGCCATCATTGCAAACATCGTAGTCAAAAGGATCCTTGTTGACAGTGGCTCCTCAGTCAACATCCTTTTCTACGAAGCCTTTGAGAAAATGAAGATAGCTCCGGAGTGCCTCCAACCAATAGATGCCCCACTAGTCAGTTTCTCCG